GCGAGGAGTCAGTGTCCCGGCTCAGCACTTCTTCCTGGGTAGCCTTGAGTATATCACCTTTGTCCTCCCAAGTCTTCATTTCCCTCTGCCCAAGGAGGGGGACAAGGTAATCTTTAAGACCCCAGCACAACTTGGCTTCATGCTCAGAAACTCGGAGCAAATCAATACCATTAGCAATGCCCATACAGTGTTATGTGTGGCAAGACTGTAACCCTGACTGATTCTGGGAGCAGAGACCACATTCTAACCAGAGCCCAGTATTCTGACATCCAAGTACCAAGTGGAAAGAGAGTGTTAGAGAGAAGGGTGGACTGGGATTTACCCAGCACTAAACCGACAAATGATGGCAAGCGTTGAGAAGGATGGGTATCCCTGAATAGTAAATTATACTCATGGGAAACCTACACCTAGACCAGAAAGCTGTTGTACAAACAGAACAAGGGAACACTGCATGGTTTAAAATACATTTTCTCCACATCTATTCAATACATTTGCTGAGCAAATAATTTAAGAAGCTGGCTTATATGAATAAGGATTTGATATCAAGATTGGAGGAAGACCCATGAACAACCTTGATTGCAGATGACACAACATTGCTTGCTGAAATGGAATAGGACTTGAAATACTTGCTGCAGAAGATCAAAGACTACAGCCTTCAATATGGATTGAATCTTAACATCAAGAAACAAAAATTGTTACCACTGGGGCTAGGCAACATCATGACAGATGGAAAAAAGATTCAGGTTGTCAGTGATTTCATTTTACTTGGATCCATAATCAACACTCATGGTAACAGCAATCAGAAGGACCTCTTCAAAGTGTTAAGGAGCAAACATGTCAGTTCCAGGACTAAAGTGCATCTGATTTAAGTCCTGGTCTTTTCTGTTACTTCCTATGCATCTGAAAGTTGGACAATGAATAAGGATGAAGAAGAATATATGCCTTTGAGTTGTGGTGTTGGAAAAGGTGCTGAATATCCTACGGCCTGCCAAAAGAACAAAGAAAGACACCTTGGAGAAAGTGTAGCCCCTGTGCTACTTAGTGACAAGGATGGTAAAACTTCATCTCACTACTCTGGACATGTGGTCAGGACGGGTCAGTCCTTGGAAAAAGACATCATGCTGGGAGAGGCAGAGGGTCAGAGAAAGAGGAGCAGACTCTCAACAAGACGGATTGACAAGGGGACTTTACCAGTGGGCTCAGGCATAGTAAAGATGGCGCAGGATGGGACAAGGTTCTCATCTTTTGTTCATAGGGTCATTACGAGTCGTAGTCAACTATGTAAAGTCAAAATAATAACTACCACAAAGAAAAGTTCTCTTATGCTAAGTGAACAAACTCAGGCTCATAAGGACAAATACCGCATAAGACCGTTGTTGTTGTTGTTGTTGTTGTTGTTAGGTGCTGTCGAGTGGTAGATGACTCATAGCAATCCTGTGAATGAAAGATCTGAGCACTGTTCATAGAGTTTCCTGAGGCAAGCCATTTTGGAAGTGGATGCCACTCCTGCTTCCAGGCTTATTTTAATCGGGAAGCTCCAGCAAACACTGTCCACCACGGGTGAGCATTATTACATTTGGCACATCAGTGTCACATTATTACATTTGGCACATCAGTGTCACAGTATTTAGCATCACAGCAACCACGAGTTACCTCTGTACAGCAATGCACAGACCAGTGCTATATACCACCTAGAAGAAGGTTTGACAGAAAAACAGTTGGGACCAGCCTGAGGGCCACAGATTAGAATCACCCACCTTGGGCTTGGTAACATAAATTTCCGTCCACTAGGCCAACATAGCTCTCTCTCTGTCATCGTTGTTATTGCTATTAGGTACCATCAAGTCGTAGACAACTCATAGTGACCCTGTGAACAAAAGGCCTGACCATTACTGTAAAAATAAAAAGATAACTAGTAAAATGTGTATGAGAATCCAAATGAGGGAGGGTGGGAGCAGGGGGTGAGGATGGGCAGGAGGAAATCATAGGGTCGCACTATATGGTGGGTGGAGGGTGCAAAGGGCTAAGGAAATGGGAAAGTTCAGGCAGGGACCTGGAAAGACAGGGTAATGGTGGGCATAGTTAAATGGTGTTTAATTTTATAAAACAATGAGTGAGACTGCTAAGAGAACAAATAGTTTCAACCTGGAGAGTGTGAAACCAGCCTGCTCTTTGGAGGCAAGGATTCTAAAGCTCCGTCTCACATAATTTGGGCATGTTGTGAGGAAAGACTAGTCCTTGAAGAGGGACATTATGCTTGGGAGGCTTGAGAGACAGCATAGGAGAGGAAGACTCTCAATGAGATGGACTGACACAATGGCTGGGGTCATGGAGGTAGATGTGTCGGAGACAAGAAGGTTGGCTCATGATAGAGCAGAGTTCAGAGCTGTTGCACAGAGCAGGGTTCAGAGCTGTTGCACACAGGGTCGCCATGAGTTGCAGGCAACTTGACGGCACGTAACAACAACAACAATCAAACACAATGTAAATATATTTTGGAACACAATGTATACGAACTTTGTAAGGAGACCCATATAAGATAAAAATTTTTAAAAACCTAAAAAAAATTAAAAAAACACCAAGGAGAAACTCTGCTGGTGCATTAAGAGTCACCTCTGATGTATTCAACCCTTGCAAAAGATAAGCAAACTCGATAATACTCTTATCTCTTCATTACAGTGGGCCCCTGAGATGCTCTCACCAGGGGACACGTTTTTAAGCCAAGTTCTGTCGCTACACGCAGTCATGATGACAGAGCTCAGTTCCTTGAAAAATCATGTTTGCTTTCAACTTTGCATTCATTCTGGCTGTCCTCCCCTGATGTGAAGCTGAGCCAGAGAGGTCTCACTTGTTGCCACTGAGACACTCTCAATGCATTGTGACCCTAGAGGACAGATACTGTGGAACTGCTCCCGTGGGTGGGACTGCCAAGGCTGTAATCTCATGGATACAGACTGTCACTTTTTTCTCCAGTGTGGACTTGAACTGTTGAACTTCCCATTAGGAGCCAAGCATTTAACTAGTGTGCCACCAGAGCTCCTGATGCATTTTGTGAACCCTGGGCATGTCAGTTCACCTACTTCTAGGCCTTGCTATTTTTTCATCAAAGCAATGGAGCAACAACATTCCATTCACATTTGTAAGGGTTAAATGAGTCCCTTAATTAAGCATCAGTCACAATGATGAGTCCATTGCGTTCTGTTCAAGAAAGCCCGTCACTTCTCCTATTTCTATGCCCCCGAACTGAGGCTTCCATGCTGCAGAGTGGGACCCCACAGTGGAGCCCAGCTGGAATAGGGATGCCGAGGACAGTGATAGAGCCTCGGTAGCTGCAGGAATCCAATGCAGTTAGCCTGGATCTCTTCCAACCAATTTTACCAGGTCTCATTTGGCTTCAGCTTGAGGTTCCAAAGCAATTACATAATCATAACAACGCATAGCATTTGTTCAAAGCTTTGCTAGTTCTCAAAGCACTTTCATTTGCATTATCTCATTTGCTCCTCCCCACACACTTGAGCTAGCTAGAACATGCCCCCCCCCATCTTACAGATGGAGAAAATGAGGCTACAAGAGCTTATTTGCTTCATCCAAAGGCCACACTGATCAGTGTCAACATCAAAACTCAGACAAAGATCTCTGCATCCCTTGCCCCAGGGTCTTCCCACAGCATCACACAGCATCTTCCTGTGGAGCTTTGATCTAACAAAAGTGTACGGGGCTCCTATTATGTGAAAGATTATGTTCTACATGCTGGGATGCAGAAACGAATGGCAGAGTCGAGTTCCAGAGAGATACAGGACCAACTGTTCAGTGTCATGTGATAGATGCTGTACCAAAGAGCACAGGAGCAGAATACTAGCCCATTTACATGTGGGACTCGGGGAGGACTTCCTGGAAGAGGCAATAAATCAATCTAGTCTTGGAGAACAGCTCGAGGTTGTATTGGCAGAAAGAAGAACAAAAACATGTCTTGTATGAACCAGTAATGCTTATCTGAGTACTGGCAAGTTGCATCCGAATCTCTCATTCTGTCATCATTCATTTAACAAATATTTCTGGAGCACTCCCCTGTGCCTGGCACTGAGCTAGGGTTAGATATCTCAGTAAACAAGTAGACATCGTCTCTGAATGCTTGGTGCTAATCCTCAGGTGAATTTTTGTGGACTCAGGGAAGGAGTGTGAGCAAAGGCAGAAGGAGGTAGCCGTGGGCACCACAGAAGCTGCGTCTGGAAGGAATGGGAGCCCTGTGGGTTTAAGTACAGGATTGGCAAGCTCAAGTTTGCATTTTGCAAAAAGTGAACTGCATTTAGCCTGACGGCATGGGCTGAGAAAGGTTGCCTGGAATCAGGGAGTCCAGCAAGCAAACTGCAGGTGACCCAAGCAAGAAATTATAGGGTCCTAAATTATGGCGATAGTGTAAAGAAAAGGCCACATGCAAGACAGAGGCATAGGCAATATTGCCAGGCCTTGCTGGTTAAATAATGAGAGCCCAGAGCAGTTGTGAGCCTCTGGCTTGAGCCTTATGGTAAGCGACAGTGCTCTTTCTAAGCTAAGAGTGAGAGACTTGTGGGATGGGACAGAGAAGCTAAGGAAGGTTGTTCCCTTTGGGATGTGGTTAATGTTAGGGGTCTGGGGACATCTTGAGGGTATGTTGATAAGGCAGTGGGATAATGAATCTGAAGCTCAGATTGGATTGGAAGGTGAGAGTTTAAAGCTGATACTTAAAGCTTGGAAATGGGCAAGACTATCCAGGGATGGAGAGTACAAAGAAAAGGCTGGTTCCCTTGCATCAGGCTTCAAAGAGTGTCCCTGTCTTTTCTCTGATGGCAGACTTTTGTTTGGTTGGCATAAGTCATCATCAAAAGAAATCACACACACACACACGCGCACACACACACACACCAGTCTCCTGGAGGGTAAACTGTGACATGTGGGGAGTCAGCAATCTTTGTAGCCCCGTCTGAAGTCACTCATGTTTTTCTCTCTTTTCTCTCCTTCAGGTGTTTACAAAATATGGCAAGTGTTACATGTTTAACTCAGGCGAGGATGGCAAACCTCTGCTTACCACAGTCAAGGGGGGAACAGGCAACGGGCTGGAGATCATGCTGGACATTCAGCAAGATGAGTACCTGCCCATCTGGGGAGAGACAGGTGAGCTGGGTACGGGGGTGGGAGGGCAGGAGGTGGGAGTAGGTGCTGGAACAAATCCGAAAGGCTGTTTTGGCTCAGAAGGTGCTGGCTGTCCTTGTCCACTTAGGAAGGACTGCTTTCCTATCAAGAGATCGGTGACACATAGGTAAGTGGCTAAGATGCCCTGGCATGGGCTGTGGTGCCCTGGAGTGTTCAGAGAAAAAAAAAGGAAATTTCTACCCATTGGGGGAAAGTAGGATTGTGAAGAGTTGGGAAGCCAAAGGCTATGGACTCAGGTGCCGCCGCCATGCTTATGTGAGCCCCTGAGGGAACCCATGTGTGCAGGCTCTGAAGCTTATTTCATGCATTTGTCTGTTTATGTATTCTGCAAACTATTCATTAAACACGCGAATGCTCAGATTTTACACCCAAGTGAAGATACAGAGATGAAAAGACCAAGTCCTTGCTCAAAGCCTAGAACAAGAGATGGAAAATGGCACTCCATTGAGACAAGCTTCTCCCAAGACCAGCTGCCTCACCTGGATGGCAGGGCTGGAAGTGGGAAAAGCCTGGTGAACGGGGTCCTGTAGAATTCCACTGGGTGGACAAGGTCAAGTTGTGCCCAAGAGTAGAAACCATGACAACAGGAGAAGCTGGAATAAAGATCAATGCTGTGCTCTGGGCGTAAGAGAGGAGGGAGGGAAGTTCCAGTGTTGAACCTGAGGAAGGTCAGAAGAGGAGGAGTAGAGATGAGAGAGTCTAGAGAGGAAGGCCCTGAGCACTCAAGATGGGGCTGAAGAGGAGGAGGAGGAGGGTAAGGAGCCTTGGCTCCTTTTGGGCACAGGGGGCAACTCTCCCACCATGAGTCCTAGAACCCATATCTCCATTCCTGATATCCTACCCTCACCACGCCTTCCCTCTCAGGAAGGAGAGGCTGCACACCAAGCTCTTTCCTGATCCAACACTCCTCCTGTCCTCCAAGTGTTTCTCACTTGAGGACCCTGATGGGAGAGGTGATCAAGGCCGTTGGCCTCACATTATGTTCAGGAGGCTATATTATCCAATAAGCAAGGTAAAACATGGTCTTACTTGTGCTAATTTGCTAATCTGTAGGGAACCGTTTCATGTTTTTCCCCACTGGGTACACCACCCCTGTTTTGAAAAGATTCTTTTCTACAGTCATACCAAGAAACAATGTCTTTGCTATAGTAAGAAAATTGTTCACTGCAGGTTAGTAAGTAAACATAAGAAAACCCATGTTACTTCATATTTCAATCCATGTTATTGAGTAATCCAACACTGAAAGTGATTAATATTCCTGTTTAAACTGAAAAATAAAATGGTCACTGCCTGTGAGATTACAGTAATGCCTTCTGGGAGTTCACCTTAGACTTCAGGACACTCGGGACCTCTTCAGCTGCTTATTGCAGAGATGCTTTTTTATCATCACATCAACACTCCTACATTAGACGCACCTTCCACATAACTCCGAACATCACTTAGCAGAGAAGGTTTATAATTCCAAAGTGCAGCTCTGGAATCACTTGCTGAAAAGACATTCTTGTGACCAGTCTACATGCTCTGTGACCTGTAGGCAACCCCAGAAACAGGGCCTTGGTCCCAAGAGAGGCCTTTATTATTATTATTATTATTATTATTATTAATTTTAATGAAAATTTACAGAGCTTTTTATTTCCATTCATTCACTGTTGCACTTTTCTCCCTGTCCACCCCTCCCCTCCAGTTCGTTCTTCTCTTTGAAAACTAAAAGAAAAATTCTTTCATTGTTATACAATCCCTCCCCCCAAGTCCAAGAGAGGCCTTTTTTTTCTATATTTTATTAATTTTCATAAACATTTACAGAGATTTTGGGTTTCCATTCATTCATTGTTGCACTATTCTCTCTACCCTCCTCCCAGTTTGTTCTTGTCCAAATGCCATAGTGCTTGTCAAAGCCAGTTCTGATTAATCTTCTTTGTCAGTGTGTCCTTTGCCATTCCCTATCACTCCTCCCTGAGAGAGACTTCACCCTGAGTCATAAGGGAAAGGGGATGGCGTATTCTCTTAGCTACTGCCTGCTGAAAAGGGACGCTGTGGGTTTCAGGGTGAAGATCTTCTCTCACTACTCTAAAGGGCCCCTTTGGCAGTAGGAAACACATAGACTATTATGGAGATTGATTTTGGAATTTAGATGCACTCTTATTGATTGTGCTTGGCCGTACATGTTCATATCCTTGAAGATGAATCATGGGGGTGTTGCAACCTAGAAGACACAATTTTGACTAACAAGTTATAAGTACATGAGTCCAAAAATTATGGAAAAGTAAAAGAAAAGATTCTTTCATTGTTTTACAAACCCTCCCCCAGGTCCCCTCCACCATGTAGCCCTCGCTCTAGTCTCCTGTGATGACAGAAATACCTAGTTATATATCTCTTTTAAACAGTTTTCTCCCTCCTCTGTTTCAGTGCACTATACATTATTGAACCCATCTTACTCAGTCTCTCCCCAATCCCAAGGACAGTCCCATTCTACAACAGTGGCATCATGTAATATTTGTCCTTTTGTGACTGGGATATTTCACTCAGCATAATGTTCTCCAGAGTCAACCATTTTGAATAATATTGCATGAGTTCCTTGTTTTTTAATGCAGCATAGTATTCCATTGTGCGAATATACCACAGCTTCTCTAGCCATTCGTTTGTTGATGGGCACTTAGGTTGTTTCCAACTCCTTGCTATTGTGAACAAAGCTGCAATAAACATGGGTGTGCATATATCTGCTTGGATGTCAGCTATGGTCCAAGAGAGGCCTTTCTTTGCAGACACCAGAACATACTTGCTTATTGAATCACCTGTGGAACAAGAAAGGAAATAAACGCTGGAGACACAGCACCCAAGGCCTGAATAGAAGTTAATTATGTTTTCTATGGTAATTGTGTTTGTTTCTTGCAAAAAATTACCACAACAAAGCCACCTGAGACAACAGAAAATCTATTGTGTTATAGTTGTGGAGGCCAGAAGTCCAAATTCAGGGGGTCACCAGAGCCAGGATCTTCCGAAAATTCTAGGTGAGATTCTTCTAGCTTCTTCCTAGTCTCCAGCATTCTTTGGCTCATTTGAGCATCTCTGACCTCTGTCCCTGACTTCACAGGATCTCTTCTCTCTCTGGGTCTCTGTGTCCTTTCTTCTCTCTATCTAAGGATGTAAGTCATATGTTTTTGTTGTTGTTATGTGCTATGGGGTTGAACATGGCTCATGAGACCCTATGAATAGCATATCTGAACCCTTCCCTGTGCCGTCCTCATCATCTCTGACATACTTGAGCCCATCAAAGCAAACACTATGTCAATCCATCTGGTGGACGGTCTTCCTCTCTTTTACTCACACTCTACCTTTCCAAGCATGATGTTCCTCACCAAAGAATAGCCTCTCCTAATGACATGCTCGAAGTATGTTAGACAAAGCTTTCTCATCCTTGCCTCCATCGTCACATCATACTACCTTAAAACCAAAGCAAGTGGTGTAGGTCAAGTTCACTCCCGTGTGTATCAGAATAGAACTGTGCTCCATAAGATTTTCAGTGACTGACTTTTGAGAATAGCCAGGCCTTTCTTCCGTGGCACCTGTGGATGGACTTGAAACTCCAACCTTCTGTTTATCAACTACATACATTAACCATTCACACAATCCTCTTCATGCTAACTAACAACAAACATCTTTCCAAGTAAGTGAGGTTAGGCACATATCTTTATGGGAAACACAAGCCCTTAATAGTAATATTGACATTTCTAGCTTGTTACTTTGATTCAGAAGTGAAAATGCATTTAGAAAATATGCACATACATACACACACTCACATACTTGCAAGGCCAGAATCATCCATCACAAAATATCACACCACACAGTGAGATTGGCCTAGGTCACATGATAGAATGGGTTCCGACCTCAGGGTCTAATCCAGGAAATCTGCATTCTGACTCCCAAAGCCAAGACAGAGGAGTTGTTGTTGTTGTTGATTGCCTTCAAGTCGAACGCAACTCATAGCGACCCTAAGAACAAAAGGCCTGAAGCCCCTCTACAACTATCGACATTTATCAAAGTTCATAGTTTCCAGAGGCGTGTTGTTTAGGAAGTGGATGCCACTCCTGCTTCCGACAAGACAGAGTAGTATGTTATTTTTTTTTTTCAAGACAGAGTAGTATTTTAAAATCTGAGATCATCTAGACCAATCCCCTCATTCCCCTACAGAGGGAGAAATGAGAGAATGATATGTTTAAAGGTCTGGTGGCCCAGTGGCAAGAAGCTGTGCTGCAATCCCGAAGGCACACAGTTCAAATCCACATCTGCTCTATGGGAGAAGTATAGCCCATCTCCTCCTGTACAGTTAACTGCCTCTGAAAACTTGTTGGAGGGTCAGCTATTGGCTGGTTCTGACTTGACATCACACAACAACAACAACATGCTTGAAGTCACATAATGAGCTCATGGCAGAGTCAGGACCTGGCCCAAACTTCTCAACCCACAACGAGCTAAACTATGAGCTGTGCCGATTCAGGTACCTATCAGTAAGCACGTGATTAAAGACCATGATCCTGACACAGTGCAGGTAATTCCGAGAGATGAAGCATGTCCACGATGAAACCCTTGGTTTTCAGGAGCTGATTATCTCATTAGGAGGCAGGACTTGTACAGAGAACCCACAAGAGAGCTCCAGTCTCATTCCCGCTAGGAACTTGAACTATTCCACAGTAATAGACCGGCACTTTCCACATTAAAGGGTTCCCTGAAGGTTGAGTGGTTGTTGAAGGCGGCTACGTGAGGCAATGGTGAGAGCAGGAGACACATAAGAAATTGCTTGTTTCCTCTGCTGTCCAACTCTCTGCAAAGACAGAAATGGTCTATAGCTATGCTGTCCAGCAAGTTAGCCACTGGCCACCTGTGGCTACTGAGCATTTGAAATGTGACTCATGAGAATAAGAAAGTGAGGATGATTTCCTTTTTAATCTTGCTTCCTTGGCATT